AGGGGTTCACAGCGTCTGGAGCAGGAGACTGGGAACATGGCAGATGTCCAAGGCCGAGTGAGCTTTTTAACACTGGCATGTGTCCTGTTTCACTCGTGCTGACATTCCTTGACTCCAGACTGCCAGAGTCTGAGCTCCTGAGTGCAACTTGAGCTCTGCTGAGCAGGTCGAACTGGCGCCATCCCCTAGGCGCTACACTCCTCCCACCACTTACACACTCCTTGTCCGTGGGCTGGGAACCCGCCATATTATTTCATAGAATTGATGTCTTACATGTTTCTCTCCCCTCTCTTTCCTCATTCTGCTTCTCCCTGAAGCCCCAATGTCACTCTTTCCCCTCATCCTCTGCTCCCATTTTCTTGCCCTGACTCTTCTTCTTCCCAGTGTCTCTCTGCAAGAACTCCTGCTTATTCTTCAAGTTTCCATTTAAGTTCTGTGGCCTCTGTGGTACCTCCCTGGATTTCCAGACACACCTTCTGTAACTGGTGGCAAGGACCACACTGTGTCCTGATCATTCACTTGCATGTCTCTATGGCTCCATGCAGAGGGCACAGCAGTATCTTATCTGACTACTTTCTTACAGCTCCTTGTTCGGGGCTATTTGTAAGGCATAGACAGCAGGTACATTGTAGGAGCCAACAGAGGTGCTTGGCTTCTATCTGTGGTGCTTTCATCTTTTCCATTTCCTAAGTGCCTCTGGCCTGAGGTATGTTCTGGATCCCTCCAGGCAGTCCCTCCTGCCACCTGTTGTCTTTCCTTAGTTAGGCTCAAGCCAAGCAGAGATAGCCTTTCTGTTTATTAAGTAGCATGATTCAGATGCTCCTTCCCAGCCTTCTGAAGCCTATCCTGAATGATGAGAATCAGCTGCCTGATCCCTTTATTTCTTTTCCCCGTCTTTCCTTTTTCCTATCCATAGGGGATATGGCTCTTCCTTCCCAGCCTTCCAGGTTGTCTTTGCTGGAGGCCACTTCCGATGCTTGCTCAACTCTACACCAGGGTATCAGGCAGCTACCATACAATCAAGTCAGGAGAACAAAGCCGTCATGGATGATAATCCTAGTAGCTAAAAATATGTGATAAATCGTCAAGAGTCATTTCTGTCTTAAACACCCCTGGGTGACTGACAAGTCCTCTCCCATTACCAGCAAGGAATCTGCCATTCTGTTTGGTCTTGTATGTATCATTTATAATCTCTACTAATGACAGAAGCCCCAGTTTCCTTGTCTCCACCACACTTCAAGATGTTTGTTTCTTCTTTTTCTTTTCCTTGATCAAAACCACTTTGAGAAGTAAGAGCTGTTGTCCTGCTGCAAGGGTAGGAGATTCAGCATCAGAACTTAGAGAGGTCTGCGTGCCACTCTTGTTCAGATTCACATTTTACTCTTTCTAGAGCCCAAGTCCTTCATGTTCGTGTATTTTTTTATTGGAAATTCAGATGTACAGAGAGAAGGAGAGACAAAGAGGAAGATCTTCCTTTCACTGATTCACACCCCAAGTGGCCACAACAACTGGAGCTGAGCTAGTCCGAAGCCAGGAGACAGGAACTTCTTCTGAGTCTCCTGCATGGGTGCAGGGTCCCAAAGCTTTGGGCCATCCTCTACTGCTTTCTCAGGCCACAAGCAGGGAGCTGGATGGGAAACAGGACTGTCAGGATACGAGCTGGCACCCAAATGGGATCCTGTCACATACAAGGCGAGGACTTTTTAGTCACTTGGTTACCGCGCTGGGCCCCTGTGTGTTTGTTAACAGATAAAATCTGCTTGCATGTCCCTAATGACCCACATATGTGTGTGACCATGTCTACACCCCACCTACACTAGGATGTTGATTCCCTTAGCACAATGTCTGTGTCCTGTGCCTTCTAGCTCTCCAACCTGTTCAATATGCAACAGTTGCAAGCTTAGTCAATTTTGCTCATTTGAGTTGGATACTTGCCTCTGTCATAAAACCAAGAATCATATGGGCCACAGAAATAATTGTCCTACTTAGACAAGAAGTAAAAACAGGTGGATTCTAAGGTTGGAATGTAGCCAAATCTGACAGATACCCTTTAGAATCTCCTGAAGGCCAAACATACTGGAGCAAACACATCTCCTTTAAGACCCTACTTGTAGCTCAGAGCTGAAAGCTAGGTGGTAATCTCCTTGCCCTCTGAGTCATTTCTCACTCCAGGACTCTCCTCCACACTGCAGAATTCCCTTTCCTTCTGTGCAGGAGATTGTCCGCCTCCTTACTTTAAAATTTTGTGTTATAAATTCATCTCCCTTGGGCTTTCTGTGACGAAGTGGTACAGCTTGAGCTGAAGCTTTTCGTTTTTCACTGAGCTTTAATAATGACCTCTGGCAGATGTTCCAATGTGACTACCAGCCTGAGATTCAAAAATTGCACATATATATGCACATCAGTATAAATTTAACTCAGTTCTCATTATGTATAAGATGATGGGGTGATATCTTCCTCCATTATGGAGATAGACTCCTGGGTCCTCCTTCTGTGCCAGGGGATAAACACAGACCCCTTGTGTTGACCAGGAAGTCAGCCTTTTGTATACTACAGAGACTCAGTTGCAGTTTTCTGTCTTTCTTGAGACCCAGAATTTTCCCCTGTCCCTTTCATGTCTTTCAAGCCATAATCCTTTGCTTCCTCCAATTTCTAAACCCTTCCTTCAATTTAGATCCAGTTTCAGCCACCGCTCATTTCAGAAGTTTGAATCCTCTTTGCTTGATCCCTGGCAGTGCCCCTTTCTTTTGAGCTTAACTATGAAATTAAAACGAGATGTGTGTGTGTGAGATGAAACTGACATGTGAAGAAGTTATCTGTATTTCAATGTTTATAGCAGCTCAATTTCTAATACCTAAGATGTGGAATCCATCCAGATGCCATCAACTGATGAATAGATAAAGAAAACGTGGTGTAGATAAGTTATGGGATACTACCCAGTCATAAAAAGACATTAAAATCTCTTTTGCAATTAAGTGATCTAACTGGAAAGCATTATACCTTGTGAAATAAGCTAGCCCCAGAAATATAGATAGCGTATGTTTTTTCTGAAATGAGGTAAGCATTACAGAGAGCACAAAAATTTAATCTATAGGAATGAAATTAACATCATAGGATTGATTTTTGTTACAGCATTTGTCTGTACTCCTGAGGAATAGTGGCTATGTGCTGATATATTTACCTAATGGAATGTTAATTCTGAGATTGCAAAGTGAAGTGAAAATATGAAAAATTGTAAAAATAAGGGGTTGGGGAAAGAGATAAGGAGGAGGCTGAGTGGGAAATACAGGCGAGAGGAAGGATCAGGTGGGAACTTTAACCTGGGTCGTGAAATATGTGAAATTTGTTCACTTCATAGAAATACAATGAATACACATGAGTGAATACAATGAATACAATGAATATGTTTGTGGAACATCTGCACCTTTCTGAGATCGCAACATTGGAAATCGGTGTATCTATCTCACCTTAGGCCTTGGACAACAGCACCCAGGACTCTTTGCATCTCCATCAATGAGCTCTAAATTGGCCAAAATTCTACTGAATGCCACAGGAGTGAAATGAGGCCCTGAGTGTCAGAAGAACCCAAGGGAGAGCTGCAGTGTTAGGTCAAAGCCGTGGGGCTGAACTATTATTTTCCAACACTGGTGTTCTTTCTAGTGAAGCTTTGGTATATGGAGTTTTAACTTCCTTTAATTTCCCTTGATCAAATCAGCAATCAATGATTTAATGCTCCTTGGTGTCCTCAGGCTTAAGACCTCCAATTGTGGCTGAGAGTTATGGCATATGAAAAACTTGATATTGCATGTTTCAGAGATAAACTTGACTTTTTTCTTCTGAAGGAAGTTAAAGTAACTTCTGTACTGAGAAATTATATTTATGTATGAACCATGACACAAGAAAATAGGCACAGGTTATTCTTTTTTTGCAGTTACATTTGCTGTTTATTTTTTTTAACAGCATACATTATGATCACTGCGAAAGATTATGTGTGATGGCCTAATGAATATATCACGAGGGGAAAACCACAACAAGATAAAATATTATCTCAGAGAACTAACAAATGATGCCATAACTAGGAGCGAGGGATTGTCTGGGCTTAATCTGGGGCTCTTTCAGGCCGTTTGGTCTCACAAAGTTCTTAAGCCCATTGAGGCGCAGGTTCTTGAAAGTTTATATGCATTCGGTAGTCTATCTAAATAACAAAAACAAATGTTTGCTATATTTTATCGGTAATTTATTTCATAATCCTTAATTTTCTTAATGACACTTTCATGAGATGGTTCCTTTTCCCTGCCCCATACCTAAATATAAATCACATGAGAACTGGGACAACATTTATCTGATCCATCAGTGTGTTTCAGCTGCTATGCCAGCCCCTGACAATATATTCAGATTTGATACAGAGTGAGGGAATGAAAGTAAACATGGAAGAAGCAGTTGGATCTTCTACAAAACATGATATTGTAAAGCTGTGGGGCTCATGCATCCACAAAACATCCTTCACATCCCCAGATACAGTCTGGGGGTTAAATCTCAGATTTCTTAGTTGCTTCTACCTGTGAATCTAACAAGTTATTTTGTGACTTATTTCAGAGCCACCTGGATTTTGCCATATATCAAATCAACATGTTATTTTAGCAAAATTGCAATGCCATGTATATCTGTTTGTCAAGCCACGTTCAGTCAGCAGCACTGCATCACTCCCATTGCCTGCCACATAAATTGCCAATGACACAGACAGGATGTCAACACTTCGCGTTCTCAATCTGTTTTTTTCAGCTTCAGCCTGCGCAGGTTGGTCACTTTATTCTGACCACGTTGCAATCAGCTTCCTTTGTTAGCCTTTCCAGACACTTTTCTTCCAGCTCAGAGATGCTTCTCCCACCCTGCCCCAACAGGGCATCTGTGTTGGTATTACTACGATTGCTAGAAACCTGCATTCAGCAGTCACTGGACACACACACACTCACACACACTCTACACTTCTGCTTCTCCAGGAGATGATTTTGATTTTTCCTCTCTGACTGATTACTGGGAATCAGAGAAGCTAAATGCAGAGACTGCGAAAGGCTGTTCCTCCAGCCACACTGTTCCTCAGCCGCCAAGAGGAACTTCCCAGGAGGTGGAGCATCAGTCCCAATGGCCAGCTTCTGCACATTCCCAAGACAGCCCATTGGCTCATTCAAGTAAGTTCAGTTTTTAAAAAAATTCCTTCTAAATCAGCATTATGAAAAGTGTAAAAATTGACTTACATTTTATAAATGAAAAAGAACAAATAATTTCAAAAAGTAGAAAATGAGAAGAAAAAAAAAAGTGTTTGCTAGACCTTTCCCCAAGCCAGCAGAGAGCTCTTCTGTTCTGTTGCTGAGAAGAACTTGGAGACAACAGCTGTATACCTAGGACTTGGTGTGAACCCATGCCAGCTTGGGCAGGACCTCAGTGGGCCATTCGCAGAGGAGGTGGCTGGGCGACAGGCATCAGAAGCACCAAGTCGTCAGCGTTTTATCATTTTAGGAATCCTTGACACTGCGTAAGATGATGAGCTTTAATAGAGAGTGCATAGGTGCCTGGTAACTTTACTCTGTACTTGCCTGTGTATTTGATACACTTGGAAAGAAGAAAAGTAAAGAAAGAGAAAAGCGAATAGCATTTTTTAATGTTATGTCCTTGACCAGGAGGAGTAAAAAATATAAATGGGTTGATCTGGAACAAGTTCAGCAAGTGATATTGCTTTACCTCTAGTTTGCAAATATCAGATGAATCATGTTTGATGCAGCATTGCATCAAGATAATGAGAGCTGACACTATCAGCCTGCCAAGAACCAAAGCCCATCTCTCTGCTTGTCAGTGGGAACTCTGTGCACCGCCACAGAAGAGGATTAACCAAATTTTCCAACACTTAACATTTCCCCTCGTGTAATAAAGCAATCAAAGACACTTATTCTGTTATCCCAACATCTACAAAAAGAACTGTAAAGCCTTTTGACATGTATTTAATAGTTGTACTGGAAAGAAAGTGTATGAGGCATATTTGGTGTAGAACGTGGGATAGAGCGTGAAACAAATGAAGTTTCCAGGTTATCAACATGTAAGAAACTTTAACAGCACCTTCTCCAGGGAGCCCACCATTGGTGTCATGCCTCTAGCTCCCAGGTGTTGCCTCTGCCATACCCATTATCTGCATTGATGTAGCATGTTTACCTGGGTCTCCCCTGTCAGACTTTGAGCTCCTGCATTAAGCTACTGCGTGAGGTCAAGGTCATTTGTGAACTCCACACTGTAGCTGTGCCTGGTGCAGAGTGGACGCTCTGTGACTGCGGCCGGCCAGTGGTAAGTGTATTCCCCCTCCACCTCCCCCGATACAGATAAGAATATTGGGATTCAAGTGGGTCAGATGAGTAGCTGAGTCCCAGCGTTTCTTGCAAAGACTCCTGCAAGCACACTGCGTGCTTTTTGCAGTGTTTGGAGTGTCCCTCCCATCTGTTCTACCTGCTGCTCACTGAAGTTACTCCTACTGTTCCTCAAGAGCCACACCAAATCTCCACTTTTCAGTGGACTACGAGGCCCTAGGCAGACAGAGGGTCATCTTCCCAGAAGTCCTTCACCCATCAGTTCGGAGTATGTATTCTCGTCCAGGTGCGAAGCAGGTAGACACACACACAGCAACATCTACATTGGACAAGACTTTCTGAATTCCACTGTGACAACCAATTTACCATGGATTAATAAATAATAAGATTTAATGGCTCATATTTGTGAAAATTTCAGGTACAGAGTCAAAGGTTCTCTTGGTCTGTGCCTTTAGCTGCCTCTTCCCTTTTGCAGTAGCATTGTTCTCCAAAGGAATTTCTCTGCTTGGTGGTGGCTGGTGGCTCTGGGTCTGTAGCTTTCTCATTTCCAGTCAGGCAGGAAGGGACCTTCCTGCATTATGACAAGATTAAGATAGAGTTCTGTTGGTTCGGGCAGGGTCCCATCCACCTGACAGAACTGATCACCTTGTTGGCAAGTACATAGAGTTCCACAGCATGGGAATTGGTTCAGTGTTGTGAGGGAAATCAGAGGAAGTCTGCTACTCCACCCAGCCAGTGCACTGAGAAAGAGAGGGGTTCCCCAGGGAAAATGTGGGTGGTGTCCCCAGAGCACAGGAAATACACTATTCTCAACAAATAAGTTATAGTTTAGTATAAAATGGATTTTAGTTTAGTTTGGTAAGAGCACTGAGAGAAATGAGAACAACATATGGTGGGAATGCAGGGAGAGAACAGCTAGTGACCTGGCAAGGTTGGGACAATCAGGGTGGGCCTCCTGAAGGAGGTGATACTTGAACGCAGTCAAAAATCGGCAATAAAGTGGGCAGTTTCTTGAAGGGAGTCAGTGCCTAACTTATCTCAAATCACATTAGACGCACGTTTTTAGAGCTCAAAGTTAAATCCATTCGCACTTCAGTATCCAAGTCCAAGATCTCTACAGCCTTTCTACTTAGGTTTATTTCTATGAAGGGATGTTTGCCAAATTCCACTTGAAATCAGGAAAGATTAAAAATAGAAGCACATTTTAAAAGGATGTTGTGTTTTTAACTGAACCCGCCATAACTTGTTAAATTCAGTGTGCCTGAAACACTGCGCATTTGCAGTGACATAATTTCCTCCTGCTGCATTTTGGGATTCAACCTTCAGCATTCCACCCACATTATGGGCTAAGTAGGTTTCGTTAGGTGACTCAATCCTCATTCATAGCAGAAATAGCAAAAAGCAATCGCATTCATGGCATAACGCCATTGCAGATTTGAAACAACCACTGCAAGACTGAGCCTTAGAAGCATTTGACAAAAGTTTTGTTGAAATATGTTTACACTTTCTGCCTGTCTCTGTGTAGTAACCTTGGGGCAGTTCTGATTGATTGTAGGTGATGAGGGTAGTGATGGAGGGCAGTACTCCAGTTGTTGATTGGTTTAACGCCTGTGTTTGTAACTGCCAGAGGTTTTGCAGCCATTTTCTACCATGACTTAACAACACTGAAATGTTTGGCTGATCACAAAAGGTTTTGCAAGGACAAATATTTGATAATATGTGTTCTCTTTCGAGGCTTTCGGAGACTCCCACTATGCAAAGTTGCAACTTCTGGGCTCCACTTCAGACAGAACATTATGTTCTGTCTAGATGTGATTTTCATATCTTGGCTGTGGCAGCTCATAGCTGTATGACCTCGAATACTTTCATCATTTCTCTCAGGTTACTTATTTGCACACTGAAATAGCACCCACCACACACAGGATTGCTGCATTGACTCAGTGGGCTACTATGTGGAGGCACTGAGAGGCATGCTGCAAATGTTGGGCCTTAGTCTTACAGCATCATTTACATGGTTCCATTGAGGACATTGGTATCAACTCTACAAAGCCTTTCCGCAGCTGTGGATCTAAAGGCAAAGTCCAAACTAGTTAAGAGGCGTCTGTGGAGTTTTGTAGCTATAGACAAAACTGACTATTTGCAAAAAGTTTTCAGATGAACATTAAGTAATCTTCTTATTTATAACAAATATTCTTCTTATTTATAACAAAATATTTCATATACATATGAAATATTTGGCTCAAGAAGAGTTTTAGTATGGCTATATTATCCCATAAGGGTTTGATGAGCAATGATGTCTAACTCATTTATTTTTTTCTTCCCATTAGAATCCAGCTCACTGCGAGTGGTCTCCTTTCAGGCTATCGTGTTTGCTGCATGCTTAATCATTTCTGCCTGTGCAAGGTAATGCAGACTTTATTCCCACACAATGCTGTTTCCTAGTTAATGAAGCTGTAATGCATGGATAGTTTCTTGCCCTTCTACAGAGCATTTTAAGGCACTCTGTGACTTAGACTGGTTCATTTGTTGGTTCTTGGTAAGTGCCCCTCTTTCTTTCCACTGCTGTCCTTCCTTGGTCTTTCACAAAGCATGCAGAGTCTTGCTCAAAATTGGACTTTACCATATCTCACCCTGTGTTTGAAATGCTGGTGATGTGCATTGCACTGCAGAGTCTAAATGCTCTTCACTGGAGTTCAAAGGCATCTGAGGTCCTCAGGGGAGGACTGGGAGTGCCTGCTGAGACTTCACCTTTTCCCTTGTACTTTTTTTTTGTCCCAACATCATAAAATAGGCTGAGGAAGCCATGCAGCCCCCAGAGTACAGGCTGCTCCTGCCTGAGGGCAGGCATGTTTTTGCACCTGCCTTGCCCACATCCTTGCCTTATCCTTCCTCTATCTTTCTGGCCCAAGTGTCTAGGACAGTGATTGAGCCCTTTCTGTGCTGAGCTCACCCCAGGCCTTGGCATTTACTAGTGACTCCTAGAGCACATCTCCAGGTAACATTGTAACACATGCCTTTCTTCCTTCTATTTAAATGTCACATCACAGAGCAACCTTCTCTAAAACCCTGTGCAAAGGTTGCTGCTCTTTCTACCCAAATATATTCCATTTTACTTCCAAGCACTTATCAGCACCTGACCTAGTGAATGCTCTCTTGTCTCCATGTTTAAGATCTATCTCTATTCACAAGAAAATGAGTTACCTGTTGGCATAGACACTGGGTGTGTCCCTCACTGCTCTGCCCTCTTTGCCAAGGACTCATGGAGATTTGATTGGATGTAGGAGACGAAGGGGAACAGAGCTATGCTGAAATTTTGAGGTCCTTGACCTCTGGGCAGCAATGCTTTTCGCTCTCAGGTCCCCCATCTTCAGGGTTGAGCACCTCAGCATCAGTTTGAGGGGCTGCTTTTTAAATCCTCAGTGTTAGCTCCCATTGCTGGAGATGCTAATTTAGGGATTTACATCTGGTGAGAATTCATATTTTAAAACAAGCGTCCCAGATAATTGGGAGGTTTGAGAAGCATTTTTAGATCACAACAGGACCAAAAGAACAAAAGGACGGGGGAGAGTCTAATTGCTAAAAATAAATTTGTAGAATCCCACATTGTAAGTCTGAAGTTGGAAGAACATCATGTGCCGTATCATGATAAATGCTTTGGAAATAGTTCAGTGAGGAAGCAGGAGAGCTTCCTGTTTCCCAAACTTGCAGGTTGAATAGGGAACCTTCTTCACAGGATTATTGGTAGGGTGTTTCCTTCTTCCGAATGTGATCATCAATATGATTACTCCTCTGCTTAGGAGGTGGAACTTGTGTCCAAAGAGCACAGTATAGAAACAGAAAGGAAATATAGCTTTACTGTAGCCGAGTCTCCCAGCTTCATCTCATGTGAGCGAGGTTGGCATCAGGGCTGCCTGGCATTGACCACATACCTGCCATGGGCATAGCAATTTCATCTACTGCTTTCCAAACTGTTGTTTAATCACAAGGAAAACAGCAGAAAAAGAGAGGGGTCAAACGCTTTTATTGTGAGAGTAGTATGCCCCTCTAGATGGTCAAGGCCGTCTATCCAAGGGACAGTCTGATGTATTGTCACTGCTCAGAAGAGCCCAAAGGGAAATGATGACCAGAGGTGACCTGGAGGATGGCGTCTTGGAGCAGAAAAAGTCACTAGAAAAACAGAAAACCCCAGAAGGCATGCAGAGATGAGATGGTAGTGATACTTCCACATGGATTCTTTGTTCCAAATGGGAAATTTGTAATGTTAAGATCTGATAATAGAGAAAGCTGGTGAGGTAAGAGGACCCATAAGAACCCTCTGTCAGATTTTACAATTTCTCTGTGTATCTAATTATTCTAAATAGAGATTGTATAAGCAAGAATAGTTTAAGATGAGCTATTGATATGGGCAAGAGCATGGATGCTTCTAACATTTAAGTGGTTGAAACAGGACAGACCAACTTGAATGGCTACACACACTCATACACAAGGGTTTATATACATACATATATATGCTCATGTGTGGATATGCAAATGAGTGTTTAAAGACAGATAACTCAAGAAAACGCAAAAACTAATGAGTTATTATGTATACAAGAACAGTGGCTAATTTGGGCCCAGCAGCATGGCCTCGCAGCTAAAGTCCTCACCTTGAACGCCCCGGGATCCCATATGGGCGCCGGTTCTAATCCCAGCAACTCCACTTCCCATCCAGCTCCCTGCTTGTGGCCTGGGAAAGCAGTCGAGGACAGCCCAGTGCCTTGGGACCCTGCACCCGTGTGGGAGACTTGGAGGAAGTTCCCAGTCCCGACTTTGGATTGGCGCAGCCCTGGCTGTTGCACTCACTTGGGGAGTGAATCAATGGACGGAAGATCTTCCTCTCTGTCTCTCCTCTCTATGTACCTGACTTTGTAATAAAAAATAAATAAACCTTTAAAAAAAAAGAAAAAGAAAAATGTAGGAGGACATTGTGACTCTAGAAGGTCAGCGAGCACAGGATTACAGTTGATTGGATAATATTTGCATGAGAACAACAGAATGGCTACCTTTTGTATACCTGATTGGATATCATTTGTATGAGAACAGTTGAGTGGACAGCATGTGAATGAGAACACTTGGTGGAATATACAAGAGAAAAGGACTTCCAAACAAAAGCATAGAAACTGTTGATGGGTTTTGTTGGTTAGCTCAATACTTCCTCCCTTATCCCATATGACCCTCAGTGTATGAAGTCTGATGCCATTAATAAACTGCGGCTTTGATCATCAGTCAGGGTCCACACGTGTTATCATCGGCTCCTTGCACCAAGTCCATTGCTGAGGGACAGCGACAGACAAAGAAACAACAAAAAAAAAATAGTGGCTAATTTGTGGAGCACAGACCATAAGGACAACAAAGAAAGGAGCATTGAGGATATTCTCTCGCTCATTGAGGTCTGTCTAAAGCACCAGTGTGCCCTTTTCACACTTCATTGCACACTTATTGTACACTAAATTGTTGCCCAGTTTAAACAAAGAGTTTTGTAAATGCATGTGAAAATTCTCTGAAAGAATTTACATAGAAAATTAACAATAGGTACTTCTGGGTGGTAAATTTTTTTTTGATGATATTTTCCCTTCTCTTTTGCATTTAGTCATAATCTCTTTCCAATTATTTCTATTTTGCAAATAAAGTTGAAAAACACCAATTTTCGTGTACCCTATTATACAAACTCACACTCAAATGGCAAAAATTTAAATATTTGATAATGCGTTTTGTTGTTGCTCTTGTTTCTGCCAAGGTTGTTCCGCAGCCCACATGCTCATGTCTGACGATTTGCTGGGAGCATGTTCTGATGATCTGGATGAAAATCCCTAGATAGTGCAGTTTGACAGTTTCCATCAAATCTAAATTTTCACATCAACTTTGACTTGGCTATAACTTTTCTCGAATTTATCTTGTACATGCACTTAGAATATGCTTTGGTTCACATTGGTAAAATGCTATTCAATGCATTTTTCTAAGATTAGAAAATTGTTTTTGAAAGTGTGATTCTTCGTGATATTTATTGTACACACAAATTGATCATTACTATCTAGTTCAGAGGTAGTTTAATCTCTGGAAACAGGAACCAGGCACCCACTAGCTTGCTCTCCATTCTCCCTCCTTCCTGAAAACCCAGAACTACTTTCTGTCTCAGCGCCTGTTCTAGACTGTTCCTACAGGCTCAATCACATACAGGTAGTCTTTGACCTTTTGACCTTTGACCATTGATCGTTTCACATGATATTTCCAAGTTCATTCATGTTGTGGCATGCACTATTACTTCATTTCTTTGATTTATTATTGAGCAAGATTCCCTTGTCTTGATTGACCACATTTTGCTGATCCATTCAGCTGATGGGCATTTGGTTTGTTTCCACCTTTGGCTATTGTGAGTAAACGTTGCTATGAACAGCAGTGTACACAGTCTTTGTTTTGCATATAGTTGGCTGCTTTAATTTCTCCAAGAATGGGATTTTTTAAAAAATCGGAACCATTTTACATTCCCACCAGCAATTTATGAGTGTATTCATCTATTTTCTGTTGCCATAACAAAATACGTTATTGAGGAAAGAGATGTATTTTACCTATGGTTTTGCAGGTTTGAGAGCATGGGCAAGCAAATGACAAGCTAGTAAAGGTCTTTCTGGTTCCATCCATCATAATGTGATGGATGACATAATGGTGGGAGTAGGTGACAAGTCAAACTCAAAGGACAAAACAGGAATCCAATGAACAGAGAGGGACCATTCTTTCTGTTCCTGTAACAACTCACTCTCATGAGAACTCACTCTATGAGATCAGAAGTCAATTCCTAGTGACAGTGAAGCCCCAATGACTTAGTCACCTTTCAATAGGTCCTATTTCTTAATGGTCCATCATACTGGGGAACAAGCCTCCAGCACACGAATCCTTTGGAGACAAACCACTCCAAACCATCACGTGAAGGATCCAAAATTTCCTCATTTTTGACAGCTGCTATTGTTGGTCCGTTTGACCACAGCCACCCACCTGGGTATGCAGTGGTATCTCATTAAGATTTTCCTTTGTGTTTCCACGATGGCTATTGGTGTTGCCAATCTCATGTACTTACTGGACATGTAACATTTACATTTTGGTTGTTGCGTTGTTTGTTGTATGAATTCAGTTTATGATTTATGAATAGTTTCTCTGGATCATCCAGCTGATTTTTCTCTCTATTGATCATGTGCTTTGGTATCCATTGTCATGAAGATTTCCTTGGTATTTTGCTGCACATGCTTTAAAGTTTAAAGATCGAAGTTTTAAATTTCTTCTGAATTAATTTTCGTATATGGTGTAGGATAAGAGCTCATCTTCATTTTTCTACATATGTTTTAGTTAAGTTCTGAAATTGGAAAGTAGGAGTCCTCCAAATTTTTTCTGTGTTTTCAAGATTTTTTTTTTTTTTTTAGCACTTGTGGGTACATAGACATAAGTTTTGTGGTAGCAAAAAAAAAATTAAAAATTAAAAAATAAATAGAAACAACTCAGACATCCATGAATTGTGGCCAGGGAAACTAAATTAATGTTATGTAGTCTGTCTACGTAACAGAATGATGTGTAGTTTGAAACACAGTAGAGAAAGGTGTAATGATCCAACCAGGGAAGGATGGAAAAGATAGTGGGAAATGCAAAGCGTCTACGCACAAGAACGTAAAACAACAAAGAATTCTAAGCTGTGCATGGTTCACAATTAGGAGATAGAAACATTGGATGTGTGTGGTTTAAAAACATGTGTTAATATGTAGTTTTGTTTTACATTATTTTATGCTTCTCCTTTAATGAATCTTGGTAAAGCCCGGTTTACCAAATTTTTAAGGGTCATGTTCATGTGTTTAGTGGCATAGTGACAAACAACGTCAAATAGAAATGCCATGCCCCTTTTCACCTGAAGTTTTCTTTTGAAAACTCTGTGGCTTATGTTGTGTGGCTATGACCCACCGCAAGCTGGGTTCCATGGAACATGTAATGAATACATACAAGTTGATTGTTTTGCATGTCAATATCCAATAGTTCCAATACTACTGTTGAAAAGAATATCCTTTTTCCATCAAACTGCTTCTGTAGCCATGTTAAAATCAGTTTACTGCATCTATTCTGGGCTCTTCTCCTCTGTTGCTCTGTCTGTCCATCCTCTGTCAATCCCTCACTATCATTATTTTGTAGTTTACAGTGAACCTTGAAATGAGAAGTCTCTGTGTTGGAGAGCCATATGTAGTATGCTAATCTATGCAGTCCTGTTGTTTCAGATGCCTCGTGGGAGGGATATTAGCCAGTGTCTTTGCAGGCTCCGTGGCAATCACCCTAACTTGTAAGTAGCTGTTTCCCAAAATGTTGCTCTGATTTTTCTATTTTATTTGAACTTCAGTCATTCAAAAACTTAAAAATATGTTTTCTCTTTTTCTTTCAAGATGTTATCAAACCATTGCTTCTCGGCCTTGCTGGCAGTTTCAGAGCTGCCACCTGCACTTGGTGAGTGCTGCCTGCGGGACCACTGTCTGCATAAAGATGGCAGACCCTGGAATGTGTGCAGGGACTGTGCTCCATAACAGAGCGCAGCGGTAGAGTGCATGCAGGAATGTGCTGAACGTCTGTCCTAAAGAGAAGTTTCTGTTCCCGCTTTCTCCCTCCCAGATTATTATATCCACACAAATAGATTTAATCTTGAAGGCCATAGGAATAAGGGAATGATTGGGAAAGTGTATCTATTTCAAAGGCTTTAATAGAAACTGGACCTTCTATGAAATACCCATGTTAACGTACGTTTCTTTTTGAGTTTCCTAAATGGCTGAGAAAACACCCATGAAATGATCTCAGTTACAAACTGGTATTTCTCTTCCCTCTCTTATTCCCTTAAGGAGCCACCGTGTGCTGACCGATGTGGCTCAGCATAATTCAAAGAACTACTGAGATGTAAGTAAGATGCTTCCAGAATTTGAAATAGTCTGCAAAGCACCATGCTGTTTTGAGCTGGATGCTCCCAATTTCATATGGCTGTCAGACGAACAGTGTCTATGGCCTGAAGACTGACGTTCACAGTTCAGATTAGTTTGCTGTCAACACTATGTTTACCTGTTGATGAAATCTTTGTGTTAATTCTGAAATGACAATAGTTTAGTGAAGATTTATTTTGTATGTCACTTCAGATAACAGTGATTTACGGACACTCTGAAGGATACTTTCCATAATTTGTAGGCATCCCAGTTTGGGGAAGCAGGCACTGGTATTGTGAAATATTCGGGTCTAAAGGCCACTCAAGAAATGCTTATTCTTAACCCTTTTAGAAGTTAATGAGAAAATCAAGATGGCAGAATAGATGTCATAGATTAGTAGACTGGGTTAAAAAACAAAACCCATCTATTTGTTGTCTAGGAGAGACACACTTCACCAACAAAAGTCACCAGAAACTATATCACATGGGTTTTGTTGTTTCCTGTTAGTTTCATCTCTTCAAAACACTTTCTTCTGATTATTCAGTGACTCATAGATCATACAGTAGCATCATTTTCTTCAAGAAGATTCTTCATTTTCATTTCTTCAGCTACGTATTAGTCATTTCTAGCATGTTATTTAACTTCTTGGTGTTTATAATTTCTTTTTTCTTCCTGATGTTGATTTTGCTTTGTGGCTTTTCATTTAAGGGGACGTACAGTAGCTGTGAAATGGAGACTACCATCCAGATGTGAGGATACAATATAGTATGCATCTCTACTTCCAGACAAAGATGGAGTTACAATGAAACTGTTTACTGTATCTTGACAATAGGATGCTAAATTCTGCCATAGTCCATGCTTGCAATTACGGACATATGACTGTGTATGAAGAACTATACTACAGTAATGATATAGAGGAACTAGGTGGGGGAGGGAGGATTGGGCTGGGATAAGGGACATACCAGGAGCCTATGGAACTGTAACATAAAAAAAAATAAGTTTGAAAAAATAAATAAAATAAAATAATAATAATAAAAGAAGTTAATGGGTTTGTTTAAAGCTCTTTTAAAATATCCATTTCCCTGCTGCAGCCACAGGCTTCTTTTGGGGCTGAGTGGGGCTTAGATGTGTGACTTACGTGACATACATTACAGGTTTGCACGAGGGTTCAGCCATGTATGTTGATAAGACACATCAGTCTCCCTGACAATGTCTTGCCAAAAGAATTTTACCCCAAAAGCTATTTAAGGGCCTGGCGCAGTGGCCTAGTGGCTGAAGTCTTCACCTTGAATGTTCCAACATCCCATATGAGCACCGGTTCTTATCCACTCCCCATGCAGCTCTCTGCTTGTGGCCCGGGAAGGCAGTCGAGGACAGCCCAAAGCCTTGGGGGCCTGCACCTGCGTGGGAGACCTGCAGGAAGTTTCTGGCTTCTTGATTCTTCGGACGGAAGATCTTCCTCTCTGTCTCTCCTCTCTGTACATCTGACTTTCCAATAAAAATAAAATAAAAAAAATTTTTAAAGCTACTTAAAAGCTGACTTTTTGAAGTGAAGACATTACTACTGTTGGTGAGGCAGGTGGTATAAATCTCCTCTTTCTGGGTCTGAAGATTAGCATTTCAATCAATAGGAAAGACAATTAGTCCTTGTTAGGAGCAGCTTCTCAAAGCTTGGATTGGAACTAACCGCTCTGGAATCGGCTGAAGAGCCTGTTTGGAGAGGGAGTGTGTCTGAATCCCAACGCCAGTCCTCCAGAGTCAAAGCTTCTGCGGGACTTCACTGGATATCTTGTCACATTAAACATGGGAATTTGGGAAATACGATTCCTAAACCTTTATCTTTATTTTCTAAACTGGCATTGCTTAGCCTGCCAAAACTTGCAAATGTGTTCTGCACTATTTAATATTTCCAGTTCAGTTGAGCAGACACTGATGCATCCTCTATCATTATGAGATGCCATTACCAGGTACCAAGGTCACAATGCCAGGACACGTTGTTAGCCTCAAGATCTCAAAGTCTGGTGAGTAATAGACGTATAACAGGCGAGGTGAAGTTGGATTTTAATTTGGTAAGTGTAGGTGGAGAGTTGAGCATCAGCAGGAAGGTTTTCCCCAGACTAGGAGGGGTGGGAATATAGCCAGAAAGCTCCATCTATCACTGCCAATATCCTACCTGTTGGGGTTATAGCATCTGTTTCTTTTTCATCCCCCTTCCTCAGTTTGGAACTCCTTGCTTGTTCTCTCGTAAAAGCGACTGCATCAGGATGTTATTTCTACAGCCTGTTCATGGAATAAGATCTCACCTTGGCTCATTTATGTATCTGCTTGAACTTGCTCTTTTCTTGTTCTCACACTGGACAGATTCTTTTTGTTTCCTGCACAGTCAGCCTCATATGCAAGCACTCTTCAATTTAAGACTTGTGAGCACCAGGACTATTGAGTTCTTTTCTGTATCTAATCCAAGACCTTGAAAATAGTATGTACTCCATTAATATTGATGGCAGTGAATGCATTTGCTGCATCATTCCTTGAAGTACTCCCTATATAGACTAGGCTCTGTGCCTATAGGTTCATATTTTTGCATATCCTCTCTCTTATACAACATATCCAGAAGGTAGCATGCCAAGACATGTGTATTAATATCAAATGCAGGCATGTATCCTAAATCTTCCATCAGTGATGAGGATCTGAGGTGGTGGAGTACAAGCCCTGAATTTGGTTAAAGAAGCATAACTACCAAAGTCCCCTCTCCCTCCATAATCCTGCACCATGCAGGCACTTCAGACTTTTTACACCACAATGTGATCATTCAGCTGCCTTCCTTGTTAAATTTAAAACCTGTGAGTATATGGAGTTCCTATTCACCATTTCCCTTAGTGTCCTTTGCAAGTAAAGGTGACCACAAGCTTCCCGCAGGACAAATAATGAGTCAGCATTTACAGTGTCCCTTCTGGGCAGTTACTCCTCCATCGTAACAAGGTGCTGTCTGCCAGCTCTGCTGTCAGGTGTCTGCTGTCGTCGGCTGGCTCTGCTAGTTCAAAGACTGCGTTCATAAATGTGGCGAGTGAGTAAATCTTAGATAATACAATATGGGGGAAGTCTGCGTGTTAAACACATACAGTGCGAGACACAAGAGACCTAGCATAGAGTGGAAGTTTTAACTAAGTACCAACCTAGGTTTGGGGACTGAAGCCTATTTGGCCTTGCACAGCCAAATGAGTGCACTAGGAACTACTGAGGCAAAACCCAAGAACTGCTCTAAGCTGAGATTCCTATTTCTAGTTGTGATGACTTAAGCTAGTTGTGTGGATGTGCGTGAACACCGTGATTACACACTGCATTTCCTGTGTGGGGATGAATTATGCATTTCTTTTCTCCTTTCTCTGATCTAGGTTTCCCAAAAATTGACAACTAACTTAGGAATGCCTCTGATGACTGTCTCCAAGCTGAGTATCTGGAAACTGTCCGGCTTACAAGCAATCTATTTGGAATCAAAGACTGTATTGGAAGGGAAGGAGCAACTGGATAATTGAGAAGAAACATTTTAATTTGGCTGCATGATTTTTAAAAAAAATTCTCAGTTTTCCCTTGTAATTACAGTATGTTCGTGAAATTATATTAATTTTGCCTTTTCTTTGCAAACACTGGCAGTTTGAAAGGCAAAGGAATGGGAAATTTGAAGGAGAACAGACTGACTGGAGGAAAAGTTACCCCTTTAACGCTTTAGTCTATAAACAGTGGCTTGCAGACATTTGTTTTCATTAGAAAATTCTGTGAGGAACTTGTATCAATGAATGCACCTACCCCTTGCAGATCTGCTTGAATTAAATAATAATGCATGTGTATGGTCAAAGTAATTTGAAATAAATACATTCACTCTCAGCATTCAACATAATGTTGCAACATTCATCATTTGCCCCACAGTCACAGCTCAATAATTTGCTGGTAACTACAGGTATCATGGCCTGGATGCGCTGTGTCCCCCAAGTGTCCCCGTGTTGTAAGCTTGGTCCAGAAACAGTGGACTCTATTAGAAGTGGGGTCCATGGGAGGTGTTTCTGGGTCCTATGTACCCTGGACTCAGAAAGAATTAATAAAGTTATCAAGAATCCCCTGCTGCTCTGCTGTCTCACCATGTGGCGTCTGCTTCTTGCATGCCCTCTTGCCAATGTAATTCATCCACCGAGAGATTCCTCTCAGAGCTGAGCAGTCACTGGTGCCCTGTCCCACACTTTCATAAGTATGAACTGAATGAGCCTGTTTTCTTAATAAGTACCCATTCTTAGTTATTTCATCATGGTGATGGAAAAAGAACTAATACAGAGTAGGCCATCATTGATAGGATAAATAAAGTTCATCAACTTATTTTATGTACATATATATGCTATTTTAGATACCATTTCCTATATATTTTTAGTAATTTTAAAAGTATTTTTGGAAAAATTTCTCTCTTCCAAGTACTAACCAGACCCGACCCTGCTCTCTGAGATCAGACAAGATGGGGGCGTTCAGGGTGGTATGGCCATAGACTGGAAAATTTCTATTCAAATTTCTTGCCCATTTTGAAAAAAAAAATTAGGCCTTTATGGCTTTTCTATTGAGTCAAGTGGATTACTTACATGTTTTGGATATGTAAGGAATACATATCAGATACATATTTTAGAAATATTGTCTCCGAATCTGTAGGTTGCCTTTTCATCCGGTTAGTTGTTTCTTTTGTTGTGCAAAAAAGTCTCAGTTTTTTTGTAGTCCCATGTGTTTCAGAAGCTTCATGGTTTCATGTAGTCCCACTTGCTTATTTTTTTCTGTTGTCTGAGATTCTTGGTGTGGTAATGAAAAATAAAATTATTGCCAAGGCTAATATCAAGGAACTTTTCTCACTGTTTTCTTCTTGGAATTTTATGGTTTCGGGTCTTACACTTAGTTCTTCATTACATTTTAAGTGGATTATTGTGTGTGGTGTGACATATGGGTCCAACTGTATCCTTTCACATGGGGAGATCCAGTTTCCCCAGTAATGTTTACTCAAGAGACCATCTTTTCCCCAAAAGTCTTCAAAAAGTAGTTGCTGATGAGTTCTACTGTAATGACTCTTTCAGATCTCTGCAGCTTTCCACTTTGGTTGAGCTCCAGAATTTCTGACCAAGTATTTTGTCGAGGACCTAATGTGATAATGGCAGAGATGGTGTTGTATTAGAGAGTAAATGCTAGAGGAAATGTACTAGGCAAGAGATGGTTGGTTTGTGTGCCTGGGGTTGATTTGTAAAACTGTTTTTATATCTACAGTTCTACTTTTCTGACTTCTTCAAGTGACTTAAATAATAAGAGGCTGTGTTTCTTATAAAGAACATTGTATCTGCAGTACACAGCAAATTCTCAACGTTGTGTAGTCCACTCCTTGGTCATTTGTAACTACTGAAGTTGATCATAATAGTCAGCTATGAATCCTTGAGTGACCTTATACATGTATCACTGTGTCCTGTCTATCCATTTATTTACTCATTATGTGTTCCGTCTAGCCCCTGGAGAAATGACAGTGAGGAAGACAGCTGAGATTTCTATGCTTTTAAGATGTCATGCTTTGTGGGTTCTTGCCGCTCTAAAATAGGCAAAACAGCCACTTAAAAAACACAAAATCCTATTGTTAAAATATCACAAATATAGAAAATAAAAATGTAGAGTTTAATTAATTATCATAGTGAAAACTGACATGTTAAGATGTGGAGACAAAGTGCAGTATGTCTCTATGAATCCAGACCAAAAAGGGATTCCCAGTGAAACAGTTGACAACATCCTGTAGGATGCTGGACTCTCCGACATTGTCCCTGCCCACAATGTCCAGAAACACTTCAGTGTCAGCGTGATTGACTTATGATTATTCATGAAGGATCACTCATTGTAATACTAGAGAGGAAATATACAGGGAGAGACTAGGAGCTTGGGGAGGGGGACAGGAAATCCCAGAACCTATGGAACTGTATCATAAAACAATAATAAAAAATTTTTTAAATAGTTATAAAGAGAATGTCCTTTTAAGAACAAGATATGAAAAAGGACAGTGTCTTGCTCGCTACACCAGGAATCCTTCAAGTGCTCTGGTTCAAGCTGCTGAACCTAACCTTCATCCCACTCTGAACAAGCAAGGTTCTGATCTTTCTGCTCATCATTTCTGTGCTCTTTTGCTACATTCCTAATTCTCTGCCTGGTTTTGTTGGTTTCTTCAGAATATTCCTTGGAGGTCTCTGTAGGCATGAATTCTCCCTCCAACTTCCATCCCTCCCCAGCCTTTGTGTGTTTCTTGTAGGCACTGAGGCATTTGTTTCTTCAGTTGAAATTTTGCTGTCTACAATTCTGTGTTAAAGTTTAGTGCTTCCTTTAGTCTTTTTAACTTCCTACTACGGCAAACTACTTAGTATAGAACTGACTCAGTCTTGGTGTTGACTTTTTGCTGGACAGTTACTTTAACGCCAGTGTTACATTGTTCATCACCAGGGACTTTACATATTTTGTGCTGTCAACAGCCATTTTGGCTTAATATGTGGATCTTTGGTTCATTAGAATTGGAATCCATGGTATTCCAGTTTTACCATGTCTCCTTCATCTGTTTGTTGGGATGTTTTTGTACAGGAAAACATACAGTATTTGATTACTCAGACATTCATATTTATTTATTTATTCCATGATACAGCTTCCCTTCCTCCCTCCCCAAACCCCCATGCCTCCGCTAATTCCCCCATGTAATTAGTCCTTCACAATCAGTCACAAGTCCATCATTCTGCTATCTAAGTGTATCCTGACGTTGTAGTCGTGGACAATGGCAGAGAATTCAGCATCTTATCGTCAAGAAATATTCAACAGTTTCATTGGGAGTCCATCTGTGATTTGGAAATAGAGCTGCACACTGCATTGTATTTTCACATCTATATGTGATAGACTCTACGACACAGTTACAATGCATCCTCTTAAATATAGTCATAGAACAAAATCAACAACAGAGAGAAAACCAGAAAAATTTACAACAGCATGAAGTCAAATAGCACGCTATTGAATGACCAATGTGTCACAGAAGAAATGAAAAAGACAATCAGACCTTCCTGATACAATCAATGCTGGTGTGTGACCTATGTCATGGAGGAAACTAACGTGAAAAAAAACAAAACCTTTTTTTGAATGAATGAAAATAAAAACAAAAATATCAACCCCCATGAGATGTAGCAAAAATAGTATTGAAAGGGCATTCAGGTTTTAAAGTGAATGCTAATGTGATATCATTACCAAGAGAAGAAATTCCATGTATATTATAGTTACAATTGTAAGAATATAATGATATTTCCCCACATTCCATCTTCCTCCCTTCTTTTCTTTCTCCCAACCTTCCTTTTTTTAAGTGAAGGAACGTGATAATGCTCTCATGGAGCCAATATCACAACAGAGAGAACCAGCAGAGCAAGTGATTTCAGGTGTCAAAGACACTCCAGAATCCCTCCCTCCTCCTAGTGCATTGATTTAAAAACATTTACAGAGTCAAACTTTTCATGATTTCTGATGACTTCCTCTTCTGAGTCCTGACTAAAAATTGTAGTCCTCTGTTCTCAAGAGAAGACAGAGCTAAGACGTTAAAAAAAAAAAAAAGATATGCTAAGTATCAACAATAGGAAGAGAGAGAAAGAAAATAGAGCAAAGCAAACTGTTATCAGAAATGGAATCGTTGAAGAACCTATCCTGTGCTTGATCCTGGTAATTTCACACCATATGTTCTATTACTTTCCTCAACAACACCTGTTGGCAGACGGATTGTTTAATTTTCTGTGTCAACTTGTTTAGGCTATGGCACCTGGTTATTTGGCCAAACAGTAGTCTGGATGTTGCCATGAAGATCTTTGGTAGATATGATTAGCATTTGCAAGTAGATGATTTTCAGTGGAGAGTTTCCATGGAATGAATGGGTCTCATCCAACAGAGACGGCCAACACTGGAAGTGTGTGCATGTGTGTGTGTGCAGCAGAAAGGGAGTATCTAGCCTCTCTTCTCATGACTAGAGATTACTGTCAGGAAGGGCTTTTGTGAGCGCGGTGTGCTACCTTGAAGATCAAACACCGTATGACTCACTCTTGCCCCAAACGCTAACCCAGCAGAGTTTTACATGATCCAAATGATTAAATGAGAACAGCCATCTTTGATGGACGGCCATGACCTTTATCTTTTGATCTACAGTTCCTCAAATATGGTTCCTCAGTGAGTTGGGATGAATGAGATGCAACAGAATAAAGAAATTGACTTCCCTGTGAGGACCTAGAGATCTCTGTGGAGGTTTATGTCAGCACCGCTCCTCAAAGAGCTTTCCTTTTTAATGTAACATCACCTTTGCCCCAGGAGCTGTATCTACCTCACCTATAACCCTCACTGTTGTCCTAGCCAGGGTTATTCTTTGTCAGCTGTACCAACAGGCAATCCGCGTACGAACTGAAGGATCCAGCCAGCTCTCCTTGACCTTGAAACCTTACTTTCAATCATCGGTGGCTTCTCAACACACCCAGTGTGTTCTCTCTTAATTACCAGAGGC